GCAAGAGGCGATGGAGAAGCTCATTATCTTCAGTCCAAACAAGACCAGAGGCTGACTGTGGAACAGACCATCAGTCTGTTCATATATAAGTTCAAGTTGAAGCTGAAGACAATTCATACAAGTCCATGAGAGTCAAAATATGACCTTGATTATATCCCTCCTGAATTTAGAGACCATCTAAAGAGTAGCTTTGATGCACTGAGTACCAGTGACCAAAAACCAGAGAAATTGTTGGATGACATCAAGAACTTCATCCATGAAAAAAGCATAAGTTCATTAAAAAAGTATACAGGAAAAGAAGAAAAGACTAAAATGGATGTCAGAACAGACTCTGAATCTTGCCCTTGAATGTAGAATAGCTAAAGCAAATGGAAGAGTCGACAAGAAAAAAGCACTAAACGGAAGATTTCAAAGAGCAGCTTGAGAAGACAAAGTCAGTTATTATATTGAAATGTGCAGATATCTGGAGTTAGAAACCCAAAAGGGAAGAACACACTCGGCATTTCTCAAGCTGAAAGAACTGAAGAAAAAATTCAAGCCTTGAGTTGCAATGTTTAAAGATTCTGTGGGCAAAATATTGAATGGTGCAACACTGAAATAAGATGGAGAAATACACAGTCACTGAACCAAAAAGAATTGGTCCATGTTCATCCATTTCAAGAGGTTGTATATGATCGAGAATCAATGGTATTGAAGGAAGGAGTTGAAGCTGCCCTGAAGGAATTGGTGAAAAACGAGGCTCCAGAAATTGATGGAATACCCATTGAGATGTTTCAACAAACAGATGCCATGCTGGAGGCACTCACTTATCAATGCCAAGAAATTTGGAAGACAGCTACCTGGCCAGCTGACTGGAAGAGATCCATATTTATACCCATTCCAAAGAGAGGTGAACCCACAGAATGTGGATATTATCTAATGATATCATTAATATCACATGCAAGTAAAATCTTACTGAAGATAATTCAAAAACAGTTGCAGCAGTATATTGACACAGAACTTCCAGAAATGTGAGCTGGATTCAGAAGAGGACATGGAACAAGGGGTATAATTGCTGATGTCAGATGGATCTTGGCTCAAAGCAAAGAATACCAGAAAGATGTTTAATAAGCAGCATCACAATAAATGGAGAAAAGATTGAAGTTGTCAAACATTTCATATTACTAGGTTCCAAAATCAACACCAATGGAAGCAGATATGACATCAGATGACGTATTGCACTGGGCAAATCTACTGCAAAACACCTCTTTAAAGTGGTGAAGAGCAAAGATGTCTTTTTGAAGACTAAGGTGCGCCTAACCCAAGCCATGGTATTTTCAGTCACCTCGTATGCATATGAGAGCTACATGTGAGATTTGGACAATGAATAAAGGAGACCAAAGAATAATTGATGCTTTTTGAGTTGTGGTGTTGGGGAAGAATACTGAAAGTACCAGGTACTGCCAGAAGAAGGAACAAATCTGCCGTGGAAGAAGTGCAGCCAGAATGCTCCTTAGAAGCAAGAATGGCCAGACCTTGTTTGACCTACTTTGGTCATATTGTCGGAAGGGACCATTCCCTGGAGATGGATATCATGCTTAGTAAAGTGGCGAGTCAACAAAAAGAAGGCCCTCAACAAGATGGATTGACACAGTGCCTGCAGTGATTGGCTCAGGTGAAATAAGTATTGTAAGTCTGGCACAGGACCAGGCAGTGTTGCATTCTATTGTACATACGGTCGCTATGAGTCGGAGCCTGCTTGACAGCACTTAACAACAACAAGAGCAGAGTGCCTTGCCACTTTCAACTTAAGGAGAAAGGCCCAGGCCTGACATAATTTTCTAGGAAGCTTTTAAACTTCATTCCATCTCCTTTGGTTCAGTTTTCTTTTTGCTGTCAGAGAAGACATTTCCATTTGTGCAAAAGTCCACCATTAAAACTTTGATGTGGTTACTGATACATGCTAAAACATGGCTGAACCTTGAAAACATTATGCTCAGTGAAAAAAGTCAGACACAAAAGGTCACATTCATATTCAGAGTAGGTAAATCCATAAAGACAGAAAGTAGATTGGTGGTTGCCAGGGCTGGGGGTGGGAGCGGGGAGGTGGGCAGGGGAATGGGGAGTGACCACTTTGTGGGTATGGGATTTCCTTTTGGAGAAATGGAAAATGTTTGGAACTAGACAGAGGTGGTGGTTGTACAACATGTGGATGTACTCAATATCATTGAACTGTATACTTTGAAATAGTTGATTTTATGTTATGTGAATTTTACCTCCATAAGAAAAATGGATGAGATTTACTTTTAAAAATAGAGATCTATAGCTAGATAGGGAGACAGATATTATATAATATAGGTAGAGATATATAACCACACACATACATTAAAAGCCTTGAAAGATATATACCAAAATACTAACAATGCTAAATTATTCTTAGTGGTGGTATAATAATTATTTTTGCTTTGCTTCTCTATATTTTCCCATTATTCTACAATGATTTTTTTTTTTTCATATTAAAAAACAGGGACAAGAAAAGTTTATAAATGAGCATTTGTTTTGTATTTTTTTTTTAATGAACAAGATTTAAAAACAAAGGATGGTCTCATTATCTGTTAACACTGTTTGACTAATTTAATCCTTTAATTACTATTCTAGAAGCAGATAAAAATATCTAAACCCTGTCACTACGGAAGTAGATTGCACAGCCTCCCTTCCGGGGAATGGCTGGTGGGTTTAACCACCAGCCTTCTGGTTAGCAGTAAGATGCCTTAGGCACTATGCCACCAAAGCTCACAAACCCTATCAACTACCTAATTAAAATTCTGATATGTTTTGCAGCCTTCAGAATGTGTATAGGGATAATCTACAGGAATTTATAGCTTTTCCCCAAAACTCACCTCATTCAGCAACTATAGTAATGTTTTAATACCCACAGAATGTTTAATACATGCAGAAATGTATATGGCACTTTCACAATCATGTTTTAGCAGTAACTGCCTCTATTTCTTGCAGTTATTTTGTCATCACCTGTGTTTATTGAGGGAGCTCTGGTGGCATAGTGCCTAAGGCATTTGACTGCTAACCAGAAGGCTGGTGGTTCAAACCCACCAGCCACTCCTTGGAAGGAAGGTTAGGCAATCTACTTCCATAGTGATACTGCCTGTTTATTAAGCTTAGGTTCTAAACCACCAAAACTTACTTAATTTTTTCATGAGCTGTGGGCTTACTGATAATCCTTAGGTAAATAGATCTGTTGTTGTTGTTGTTATGTGCCGTCGAGTCGGCCCCGACTCATAGCGGGTAAATAGATCTAGAACCTAGCAATTTATAGTGACTCCTTATTGTACCTGTTATTCACATGTTGAACTATCACACATCTTTTTCTTAAGGAGCTCTGGTAGCATAGTGCCTAAGGCACTTGACTGCTAACCAGAAGACTGGCGGTTCAAACCCACCAGCCGCTCCTCGGAAGGAAGGTTGGGCAATCCTACTTCCATAGTGATACTGCCTCGGAAACTCAAGGAGGGGTCGCTATGAGTCAGGGCCGACTCGACGGCAAATAACAACAACAACAACGTATTTTAGTACTACATAGAACATATCAGAATTTTAATTAGGCACTTCATTTTTTTGAACAGGTAACACATTATTCCCTTTCATAGTAATGTACTCTTTAAAACTATACAACAGAAAATCTTTCCCTAGCATTCTGTTCTCTGCTCAAATTCTATAGTAAATTGTTAAGGTATGCTGGAGACAATGTGATTACAGCACTGGAGACACTTGTTGCTTCTTCCTCACAAAAAGTGTGGGAGCCAAACAAGAATGCAGAGGAATGTTCTTGGTTTTTCTGTTTTAAACATACTCAACGTGATATTTACATCCTTCTTTCACTCAAATGAGTGCTGGTAGTGCAGTGGTTAAAGCATTTGGCTGCTAACGAAACTCTCCCAGCTATTGCGTGGCAGAAAGATGAGGCAGTCTGCTTCAGTACTTACAACCTTGGAAACCTTATAGGGAAGTTCTACTCTGTCCTCCAGGGTCACTTGAGTCAGCATTGACTCATAGGCACCAAGTGGGTCTTTCACTCAACAGTACATATATAATTTTTAATAGCAGTTCAATAGCCTATTGCTTTCTCCTTATTGATAGACATTTAACATATTTTCAGTTTTCCACTTGTATAAATAATACTGCAGTGAACATTTCATGAGTCAGCCATTTTCTGTGTCTCAAATTGTTTCATTATCTATTTCTAGGATTAAAATTGGGAGCTCTGGTAGCATAGTGCCTAAGGCACTTGACTGCTAACCAGAAGGCTGGCGGTTCAAACCCACCAGCCATTCTTCGGAAGGAAGGCTGGGCAATCTACTTCCATAGTATATCTCCTCGGAAACCCAAGGAGGGCTATGAGTCGGGTCCTACTCAACAGCACATAACAACAACAGGATTGGAATTATTGAATTAAAGAGAAAAATCAACTTAAAGTTTCTGATATATCTTGCTAAAAAGCTTGCTAAAGATATCATTCCAATTTACCCATCTCCCAACAGTTAATGTGTTCATTCATTCTATCTTCCCCAGCATTTTTTTTTTTTAAATATACTTTGGGAATTAATTAAATGAAAGCAGTATTTGTTACTGTTTTTTGTTTTTGTTTTTGTTTTTGATTTCACATATCTTAGTGAATTACCTCCTGATCTTGTAGACATTACAAATTTAAGTTTCAATGAGCATTCATTTTAAAGTTAGTGTCTTCTATATAAACAAATGGGGAATACCCCTAATTCAGAAAATGGTCACCTGTCTCAGAGGGAAAATGTCAACACAACAGCAAATAGGACAATGTCAAGACCTAAATATCACTGTTACAGCTTGAAGGCATTTTTGTTATTTTCCTCCAAAATTAGACATTTACCTAAGTGGTTTACATCCTGATAGAATATTTTCTTTTCTGGCCAATTTAAATACCTCTTTGAAAATTATCGTAAAACTTAGCAGTCTAATTTTTATTTCAGACCCTTGCACTGCTGAATCAGTTTAAGTCTAAACTCACGCAAGCAATTGCTGAAACTCCTGAAAATGACATTTCTGAAACAGAAGTAGAAGATGATGAAGGATGGTAAGGACTTTGATTTCTCTATATTAACCAAAAACAAATAGGCCCAGAGCAGAGACACAGCTGGGACATTTCCACCACATCATCCCTTTTTCAGGCTTTCCATCCACTCTTATCTTCATCATTGTATTTCCTTTTGAAGGAAGCTTTTACTTCATTTCACCCAGTTGGCATTTATTGAGTGCTTGCTGTGTTCCCAGTATTGTGCTAGCCAGTGGAAAATGCACAAGAAACATGATACTATCTGCCCAAGTAAGTACTTTCTAATGTTGTGGAGAAGATAAGACTCAATCACATTAAACTATTAGTAAACAACTGTAAGAGATTTATAAGTCATAAATCATTATTTCTTTTTATACTTTTGCATTAACATTTTAGAACTCAGTAACCCATTTCATAATCCTGCTAAGTTCCTCTTCAAGTTTCTGATCTACAGGTTCCTATCAACACATAATTCCTAGTTCATTTCACTTTTGTCTTTGGAAATTTTTCAGCTTTTTAAGACACTGATAAGAAATTAAAAAATTGATGACATCTACATGTCCTGTGCTTAGACCTTCATTCTATACTGGCAAAAAAGCGGAGAAAAAAAAAGAAGAAGGATTGTGACTTCCCTTATCACACTCCTCTGTCCTCAAGTTGACTTCACATGCAGTATATTAGACCTCCCCACACCTAACTGCCCCTACCTCCCACTCTACCCTGGCTCAGGCACATTGTTGCATGTAAGCCAGTGTATCACCCCCCACACATGACTCACCCTTTGGATCCACTGAACCATCACATGTGCCATTACCCCAACCCAGAATCATAGCCTCACTCCTGTCTGCCAAACAGCATCTCTCCCCTATTTCAAAACTCTCTTCAACACTCCCATTCTCCAGGAAACCAGTCAGCAATATTTGTTGAGCACTCACAAATCTAGAGGGTGGAGGAAGGAAGCCTGGAACACACAGTAAAAAAGACATAAAAACACTTATTAAGAAAACATTTAAACAAGTAAGACTCTGCAACTGTACATAACTTTAAGCAAAAAGGTTGAGGGGAGGATGATTTGAATGCAATGAATCCTACCTAACTTGGGACCCTGAAAGCACTTGTATATTTCTCAATTAACTTAGAGTTTCTGTACAGTGTGGATTACATATGCCAATTTTTCTTAAAATCCTAGTTTTCTATTACTTATGTATATTTGTTTATACTTAAATTCAAAGTTGCTTCAAGGCAGAAGCTATTTTCCCAGATAGTCCTGTGCCAAAGGCAAAGACTCAGTAAGTGCTGATTGACCCACAGAGATAAATGCAGATAAATGCACATTGCATAGATTAACTTTCTGTTTTTTATATGACTAGACAGATTTAGTTTTATTTTGGATTCCTTGAATATCTCAAAATATCTTTCAAATGTTTGGGGTTCAGCCACCACAAAAAAAAAAAAAAATGTTTTGCCAAGTCGTCGTCTCCTTATTTTTGAATCCATATGCATTTTTAAGGAAATATGATCCATGTGTTTCTGATTCATTTACACTTAACTCATCAAGATGGTGTTTTGTAAGAGCAGTTTGATGCCCAATGATTTTTTTAACCTTTTTATAAGCTATTTAAGTCCTTTTTTATTGAACAGGAAAGTCACCAACAAATTCAAACCCCAGAAGTTCCATTTAAAACTCATAACCCACAGTATTCAAATTTACTTTCAACTTGGCAAGACCATTTAACTTCCCAAGGTTCTTCTTAGCCTCTTGGTCAGTAATCTCTCATTCTGGATTCCTCATTAGCTTTAGTTATCAATTATGTGTTTTTGAAAGTGTCATTCCTGTTATTGATGTGATTTCAAAATACAGTCACTTTTTTTTTCCAACATTCTTATCAGAGTGTTGGGAGAAAAATCAGAAAATTTAACCACATTGGGGATTAAAAATTACTGGTCAGTAATGTTGGCCAGTTCTCCATCTGGGGAACAAAAGAAAGTAGTAAAGGAAAGAAAATAATTGAAGGAACTATTAGCACTTTAGTGGGTTCATGTTTGCCTTCAATTACAGTTTCCTAAATAGAGAGTCAAACACTATGCATTTCCAGAATTTTTTTGGAATTGTTTTATCTAACAGCTAATAAAAACACCTTTAGTGTTCAAGACACTGTGCAGAATCGTACAGAATGCATTGAGGCTTTATATGTAATGCCTTTTTATTGCAATATAGACCATTGACTTTTTGTAACCTAATAAGCAATAGCGTCATTTCTCATGAATAAACCAGTTCACCTTTATCAAGTCTCTAGTGATTTAGATCCTCTCCTATAAAGAAAAAGGAGTCTTGTATTCGAAAGGATTTATAGCAAGTATTATGAGTGCATGGCATGTGCATGTGTGTTATGCATAAATTACATGGTTCCCAGACTATTTTGTGGGTCACGGTTGCTGCTTTTCTAAGAAGTGAAAGTCAGCCAGTGTGCTGTACTACACTGTCAAGGTCTGTTATCTGAGGTAAAAAGATTGCTTCTAAGACATTTTTATGTGTCCACATGAGTGGCCACACATTGAGGGATCATTTTCATTTTCTGTCAAGATAGAAACCATTACCAATTTGTTATGTTTTCTTTTACTTGGCAAACTGTTCTATTCGCATTTTTGGCTGAGCTGCTGTGTTGGCATGGTATACAACAGACATTTGGGTACCATTCAGCAGCATTCTACTTTTCATGCAAAAAAAAAAGGAAAAAAGAAATGGGAAGGGAAGAGAAAGAAAAGAAGTATGATTTTATTGTAAACAGTGTGTATAGTGTTTGATAATTATCCCCAGATTTCACTGTCTAACAATGCATTTAAAGAAGTGTTATTAGTAGTTCTAAGCTGAAATGCATAACAGAAATTTTTCACTCAAAATTACTAAGATTCTTCCTTTGTTAAGATATACACATCCAATATTTGGTGGCAGTGATGGGCACCAGATTCCAGGTTATTTGCTAGAACAGCCTCTTTGCCACTACATTCCTTAGTCCCACAGCATCTCAGATTCATGCAACTATATGAGTCTTCTTCAAGTACAGATTTGATACAACTGATTAGACACATGCCAGGAGGCATCAGCCAAAGGATTCATATAACCATGTGGATGAAGTCCATATGCCAGCTTGGATTTGGTTAGATAAGCCTTGGTTAGCTCCCAAAAAAAGTTTTGAGAGCTGTGTCTGACAAGGCAATGGAGAGACTTATGAAAAAGAAAGCCACCTGCTCCTTACATGACAAAATGGGCATTTCTAGAGAGGAAAAAATTACATTTATGGGAGTAGACTGTAATCTTGTGAACATTAACCATTCACTACTATGTTCTATTGAAAATTTATTTTCAGATTGCTAAATCTATATTAAACAGACTTGATAATAAACTCTGTAATGATATTTTCCCTCCTTCTTCTCTTCTCTCTCTTCCCTTGATCAGTCTTCTCCACAGTACATACAATATTCAGTGTTGTAAGAATTAGAAAAACACTAACAACTGAATGGTTGTGCAAAATCAATATTTTAATGATTACTTTTATAATGTAAGTTAGACGTTCTTTGTAAAAACTTAGAATATCATTCCCCAAAAATAAATAAATAAAAACTACCTGTGATACCAAACTCCAGTATACTATTAATTTATACATTATATATACTTTCCCAAATATTTCTATGTATGTACACTTTTAAAACAGAAATGGGATCATATAGTACTATAGTGTTGTAACTTGTCATTTTTCCCTCAACAATGTATAGTCATATATTGACTTTTCCTTGTCATATATAATTTTATGATAATTTTTATATCTTCTATTATAGCCATGAAGTATTCCATTATATGATAAACCATAATTTACTTAATCAGCTCTATTTTCTGAATATTTAGGCTCTTTCTTTTTTTATTATTGTTAGTATAAATGAAGCTATAGTGAATATCCTTATATCTGTTGCACCCATTTGCTCAGTTTAACTTACTGAAAGTGGAATTTCTTAGTCAGTGGGTATGCATGTGAAGCTCCTGCAAAATATTTTCAAATGACCCTCTCAAAATGCCGTTCCAATATATACCCCTAAATAAATATCATTTTTAAAACTTGCCTTTAGGATTAGAATTCCAAGAATTAATTAATATACTTTGCAGTGCTTAGTCAAAAATGGAAGCATTTTTAAAGAAATGCTTGGTCTTTATAAAATTTTTCAAAATACAAATACAGTCTTATTTTCCTCTGTTTTTAATAAAACTGGTATGAATTTCAACCTAACTCCTCTTTTCAAATGCCTCATCTCTCAGCTAGTCTTATTCTTGGTTCTGAAAAACTCCCCCTTTAAGACAAACCTATGTATTAGAAATTCTGTGTAGAATTTTGTTTTGTTTTATTACTGTACCTTGACTTGTATTAGAAATTCATTGTATTCATCAGTCAGTTTGTTTCTGCTAGAGATAATAGTTTTAAGAACCAAGACTGGGCACAAAGATGTTTTAAAGTCTCCCTCTGGAGTTAACATAACATAGATGCAACAAGTAGCAGTTATCTGATTATTCCAAATAGTGAAATTTTAACAATGCAGATGTACAAAGATTATTGACAGACCCAATCAGACCTCATTATAAGCTAATATTAAAGGATATAGCTTCATCTCATTGTTTATATCAGGAAAGCTTTAAATACCTTTTGTGTGTAATAAATACACTGATTTGTGTATGGTTGATTTACATTGTTGTTGTTGTTATGTGCCGTCAAGTCAGACCCAACTCATAGCAACCCTTCCTTGGGTTTCCAAGGCAGTATCACTACGGAAGTAGATTGCCCAACCTTCTTTCCAAGGAGTGGCTGGTGGGTTTGAACCACCAGCCTTCTGGTTAGCAGTCAAGTGCCTTAGGCACTATGCTACCAGAGCTCCTAGTTTATTTACATATTGAGTAAAAAATGCAATGATAACAAATGAATTTTTAAATTATAATCCTCACTTTATTCCAGCAGGACATTGCCAGATATGGATAA